GTAAACAACCTCATAGACTTTTTGGGTTGCTGCCAACTGGCTCTGGAGGAGCAGAGCACTGTGGAGCCAGAGAAGTGGCTGCAGGTGTGTCCGGTTTCAAGCTTGGAAAGAGGAGCTGCATGTTAGTCTTCTGAGAACAAAGAGCCAAGGTGACTGCATGTCTGCGGACAGACTGCCAGCCCCCAGGGATTCAGGCAGGTTTTGGTTGGGTCTGCGGGGCAGCCTCACAGCTTCTGTTGGGCCTTGCCATCAGTGGGTGTCGGGCTGTGGAAGGCTACAGCTAAGCAGGGGAAGCAGGGCACATGGACAAGGCAGCAGGACCAGGGCAGAGAGCAGGGGCCAGAGCCAGAAGGAAGCAAGCAGGCAGCGGGGAAAGGGTGCCGAGCAAACTCGGCATAGAGGTGGGGACCAGCGGCGAGGTCCTTAAAGTGTGTCTGAAGTCTCGGGCTGGCAACTTGCAGGGAGGAGAGGCAGAGAGGAGTAGGTAAGGGGAAAGTGACAGCCCTTGGGAGGGCAGAGACCATGCTAGGATCAGGTGCATCACCAGTGCCATTTCCATTCTTGCCTCTGAGCTTCTCCACTGTCCTTCGACAGTCCTGGCCAAGCTCACCCAGGCTCTGTCAGGGACGCAGCCACGGGAGGCATCTGACAAATGCTTAGCATCCACAGCCCACTGCTGCCCCCTGGGTGCCTCCTGACCAACAAGCAAGAAAGTGTAGACATTTTGGCCAATTCTTTTGAAAGCAGTAGAAAAAAAAAATATTTAATTTGACCAGGAATTCTGCCACTGTCAGAAAAATAGAAGGGATGTGTGGGGTTGCTTTCATTTATTATTTAGGACCAACCACCTAAGATACAAATTTCACTATTCTATCAAACAATAAAACAATACAAATAAAAAAGACACTAAAAAACATAAGCTGCACCCTAAAATTTCTAAGCGGGAGCTAAGTACAGAAAGCAATAATGTGATTTATTTAATACTTTGTTGCTCTGAGTGTTGGCAGAGTGAGGACAATCTACATATCACGCTGGCTAATGTAGGAAAGTTTTTGTTTGTTTGTCTGTTTGTTTTTGAGACACGGTCTTGCTCTGTTGCCCGGGCTAGAGTGCAGTGGCATCATCCTAGCTCATCCAACCTCAAACTCCTGGGCTCAAGCAATCCTCCTGCCTCAGCCTCCCGAGTAGCTGGGACTACAGGCACACCTTACCACACCCAGCTGATTTTTGTAGAGATGGGGTCTCATTCATACTCAGGCTGGTCTTGAACTCTTGGCCTCAAGTGATCTTCCTGCCTCAGCCTCCCAGAGTGCTAGGATTACAGGTCTCAGCCACCATAGCAGACCAGTAGGAAAGTTTTAATAAGTTAAAAAAATTGTACCATTGCCAAATTCTTTGTTCAGAACAACGATGTTATTCAGTGGTTGTCAACCCTATATGCACATTAGGGTCACTTGGAGTGCTGTTAAGACATCCCAATCCCAGGCCAGGATAATTAAATCAGAAGGGAGGATTTGGGAGGTGGGGGGTACAGAACATCAGTATTTTTTTTAAAGCCTGTTCTATCTTTTATGTAACAAAGTACCCCAAAACTTATCACAAATCTCCACAGTGTTGGCAGGCTTGACAGGATGGCTCATCCGCATCACACAGCATTGGCTGAGGTGGTTTGGCCTGGGCTGATGCCTCCAAGACGACTCACTCGCAGAGCCCGGAGGTTGTGCTGGTTGTCAGCTCGGTGCTCTGCGGGGGCCGGGGACTGGGGTGGGGGTGGGGCTCAGTTTCTCCCCAAGGGGCTGTGTGGACCTCCATGCAGCATGGTGGCTGGGTTCCAAAACCGAGCCAGAGACCCAGGAAGAATCTACAAGGCTTCTTCTGACCTGCCTCCGAAGTCCCGGAACGTCACTTACGCCACATCCCATCTATCAGTCAAGCACATCGCTCAGGCCACGCACAGTGGAAGGGAGGGCGGTCAGATCCCAACATGCAACGAAAGGACAACCTGAGCATGTGCTGCCATCGTCACCGCCAAGCTCTCGGAGTGGAGCTGTAGTGGATGGTTGTGTTGTCTTTCTGTGGCTGTAACAAGTACCACAATGTTTGGAAACAACAGAAGTTCATTCCTTCACCGTTCTGGAGGCCAGGAGTCTGGAATCAGTATCATTGGGCTGAAATTAAGGAGTCGGCAGGGCTGTGCCCCTCCAGAAGCTCCAGGGTAGAACCCATCCTCACCTCTGCTAGCTTCTGGTGGCTGTGGACGTCCTTTGGCTTGTGGCCACATCTTCACCTCTCCTCCTCTGTGTGTAGTAAAATCTCTCTATGCCTCCTTCTTCGAGATCCTTATTTTAATCACATATTCAAAGTTCTTTTTTTCCAAATAAGGTATTAAGTACAGGTTCCAGGGTTTAGGACCTGGAATCTTTTTATTTTTTAGGGGAGGCATTATTCTGCCTATCCACAAAGATGGATACTGTTTATTCAACATTAAAGGTCCTGAATCTGACCCAGGACTCACTAAATAAACTCAGCCTCCTGTGTCATCATGAACTGGAAAGGCATCAGGACCAAAGCCCGGAGTCATGAGGGGAGTAAACTACTTTATGTGATGTCTAGGACGTAACAGCCGTCAGCCCGGGAAAATGTCACTGACACAGATGGGGAACTTATCATGTTTTTCAAATTGTATCCAGTTTTTCTGCCCCAAACTTTCTTCTTCTTTTTTTAAGTAACAGCTTTATTGATACATAATTTGTATTTTCTTTTTTAACCTGGCCAAGAAACTTCAATGAGCTTAATTTGTTAGCGTTTCAATGGGCAGTTTGAAGACTTTAAAATGCATCTCATAGATTTTAAAAGGTCAGAAATGGGAACAAATGTAAGGAATTGCCGTAATATTGCTAAGATAACGTAGGGACTCAGTGGATGTAAATTCCTTTCCTCTCCCCCCAAACACTTACAACTTTAGGCTTCTCTCTCTCTTAAAGCCCGTTAAGAACGGATCTTCTACAAACTCACTGTACCTTAAAACATATGTACAGATGCTGCATACCCCAGACAACTCAGGGTTACCTCAAAACGCTAAGACTTCCATTGAATTTAATACAACTTTAAAAATACATAATATATATTTATGGGCAACAATAACTTATACAGGGCATCTCCTACATTCAAAGTAGATGGTGGCAGTTTCGAATTTACATCAGAATAGTAGGGAGAATGGGCATATCATTTACAAAATTATTAAGCAAGGGAACTTTATCAGAGATGAGGCATCTGCTTAAAATATCATCGTTCAAGCTTCTGCATCTGCCTGCAGACAGCGGCCAGCAGACTATGCACACCCAGTGCTTCTGCAGGGATAACTCCCTGAGAGGCCACCTGGGTTGCTTCATGGGGAACACTGGGAATCAGACTAGCTGTGGCAGGGAGGAGGGAGGAGTGCACTTTTGATGCAGAAACACCTGGGACCAAACATCAGGTGTTCTGCATAACCTAGCCAGGACCAGAATTTACCCTCAGACACCCCCTCAGCTTACAGAGATTTCACAAAGGAACTGAGTTACCCAGAATAAGATTTAAAAACAAATTTCAATACACTCTCTAGTTGTCTCTGTCTCTCTGATTCTAAGTTCCTTTTACTCTCTTGAATTTCTAAGAATTTCCATTTCTTCTTTCCCCGCTGGATAGAAAACAACAAACACTCACACGGTGCACACAAAAAACCTCCACCTGCCTCACACGTGAATGATCCCCAATGGGTAAGCTAACGGAAAAAGGGACACTGGCATTGTGAAGACTCTGTCACCATCCCAAGAAATAGGCCTGGGTCTCCTCTGCCAACTCTAGGTCTCCAAAGCCAACTCCATTTAGAAAGAAGAAGGGTGAAAAGTAGACTCGCGTGTCTCAACGGCTCTCAGATTTGCAACCTTCCTTCCTGAGCCCTTTAGGCCATTCCCCTTTCAGACAGAGCTTTCTGGCTGTCCAGTGGTCTGTGGGGCAGGGGAAGGTCATGTCTTCTTTACTTCCCATTGTCTGCATTTCAGATACTCCCACTCAGTGCTTTACATTCCCAGCTATTCTGAAGGAGCAGTTGCTAAATTCCATTTTACAGTAATGATTTTTAATTCCTAACCAAAGTTTACTTAACTGGCTTGACTGACCAAATGATGCAACCCACGCCTTCTGTAAGGCATAGTCACTGACGCCTGTAGCCTCCTGGACGTGCCACAGGTCCACGTCCTCCGGCTGCCACAGCTGAGTGGGTGCCCACCATGAGTCAGCTGTGCTTGGTATTAAACCTGTTTATGCTCATTTTACTTGTTATGGGAACCATATGATGTAGTTAAATATTGTGAAAACTGATTTGATATGAGTATGGAGACAGTTTTTTCTATGTAAACCAAGTTGAATGCACTTATGAGTCGCTTAACTGCATCAAAGTAAGTATGGGTGTTGTTAATAATAAAAGATAGGAAAACATCTTAAAAACCTGCAAGGATTTTATGTTTGGACTGCTTCAAGTTTTAGGTTTTCTCTCTATTTTAAAAAGACTGAACCTGGGGATGTTAAACTCTGCAATCAAAGGTGTTTGTGCAAGGATGCTTCTGGAGATCTGTAATCAAAGTAAAGCCACTAAAAATTCAAGAATTGGTATACATGTATACCTTTTGAGTCTAAATAGAGTGCTTCTGTATTTCTTTTTAATTCCCCTTGTTGAGCGACTTTTATTTCTTTTGAAGAGAACTAACTAATACTGATCACAATTGTGTCAGCTAAGAAGGCTGCATTTACCTCTGGCCCAAAGGGAAGCCAGCCAAATACATTCACCCCAGAGTGCGGATGAAAGCATTGAGGATGAGGTGACAGTTTAATTGCCACAAGTCACCTAAACTGCTGAGGGTAAGTGCCGCCTTCCTATAATTCTGTTTTTCTTAGGTCTCACCTCCACCTCCCACCACTCCCGCAAGCCCCAATGCTGAGAAAGAGACACCAGTTCCTACCCATCCTTTTTGTAAAACTCCAGCATCATATTATCCGTGGCGACGCTGAGGGGCCGGCGGGCCTGCTCGGTCTGGCGCCGGTCAGCGGGGTCCATGTCTGGGGAAGGCATTGAGCTGTAGTTGGCATTATGGTTCACGTGCACTGGACTCCCATAATTGCCTGTAATGTTGAACTCTATCTCTGCAGGGAAGAAAGAATCAGTATACGTGAACTCTTGGTCTGTCGCACCCTTCCTGGGCAGGAGAGGGATGAGCAGAGACACTTTCTTCATGCTTTACCCCTAGAAAAAAGTCATCCCATGGTGCTGCATAATCTATTGATATTAATTCATCTTATTAATACATTAGTAGGCCAAGGAAGAGAATACATATAATCACCTAGACAGGCATTTAATAAAGTGATGTCCATTTGTGATTTTAAAAAAAATACAGTAAAACAGTAACAGATGGATACCTTCTGAAACAGACAGAATCATTTTTCTCAAACCTCATGCTTAGGGGTGAAACCTCAGAGCAGTCCTAATCAAATCAGAAAAAATGGCAATGCCCACTATCATCACTGTTATTCAACACTATTTGAGAAATGCTGGCCAATGAAATTAGTCAAGAAAATAAAATAAGAGGCAAAATTAATATTTGTGGACGATGATAATATCTTTCTGGAAAACCAAAGAAAATAAATTAAAAAGCTTGGAAATAGTAGAAGATTTCATTAAGGTTGTTTGTTGGCTCTCAAAGGGATGCACAGACATACTCGTCCCATCCTTTCCTGGTGAGCGGGAGTGAATTAGCTCCGCACAGTTCTGCCGCCTGCAGCAGTAACGAGTTAGAACCTACGGAATCACTGCCTTCAACTCCTATCTACTTTACTTCTTTATCTTGACTTCCTACATCCACCCAACATCATGTCATCAACAGAACTCTTACTAAATCAGCAGTTCAGTGCTCTCACAGTCAAAACACATGAAGCAAAAGAACGATAACCAAACTTCTTCAATGGTAGATCACCATTAACTGATTGCCTCTAACGGACGGAGCACAGAACGGCAACATTTTATCCTCACATTAATGGCTGCTATCACACAGCCAGCAGCATTCCCTTAATATCTGCAAAACATAGGTACAGTGCCAATTTTTTTTTTAAAGCAAACACCGAATTTAGTACAGCCACTGCTGTCTCTTCAAAGCTGTCACCCTTGAAAGTCATCAGCTTAGGGAATGGGGCTTCCATGGCTCAGAACATCTCTGAATCCTCTGCTTAGGGGGGGATTTCCCTTGAGAGCTCAACTTTGGAGCAGGTATGAAAAAGAACCTCACTGCCTTTGAGCGCCACCATGGCATGCTGAGGGACAACTCCAAGGGCACAGCTTAGGGCAGCAAAAGGAGAGTGTAGGGCACCCAGGTGATCGTAAGCCCTGAATAAAGGTCCCCATCCATCTCAGGCCTCAGGCGCCTGATGCATCTATAAAGTGAAGGGTTTGGAGCAGAGAAAGGATCTCTCTGTCCTTCCCGTGCCAGCATTCCATGATTCGTAGATTTGAAGAAATCGTGATGTGGATGTTAGACCAGAAGAGTCCACAGACATGGTCAGGACCGACAGTGGACACCTTCAGGTCAGACCTTCCCTTGAAACAGGGATTAGAGAGTAGGAAGCTGCCACGACTCCACCCTGATACCTGGGTGCATGTGTGTGTGTATGTGTGTGTAGGGGGATTAAAAACAAAACAAACAGGGTAGTCAAGGTGGCTGAGGCCTGTAATCCTTGAACTTTGGGAGGCTGAGGCAGGAAGATCACTTGAGCCCAGGAGTCTGAGGCTGCAGTGAGCTATGATGAAGCCACTGCACTCCAGCCTGAGCAACAGAGTAAGACACAGTCTCAAACAAACAAACAGAAGCCTGTGGGCAATGGCACTTGGTCTCAAACGCTCAGAACTCACAGTGATCTTCCTGCTCCTGCCTCTTGCCCCCACCCCCGAGGCCACCACGTACCCCCGGGGAAGAACCAGTCCGCATGCTGGATGATGGGTTCGATGATCCCGACAATCTGCAGGGAGACTGTGGTCATCATCTCCGTGATGTTCCTGTAAGCAAAGAGTGAGGAGGACAGGTGCGGTTACCGCCATGGCAGCAGGAGAGGCCTGGTCCTCCAGCCACAGGGCCTGGGAAGGGCCCTAGACTGGAACTCTGCAGACCGAGGTTTGAGGAGGACACTTCACACTTCATCTTTCTGAACTTCTCTTTCCCTATCTATGGAACGGGGACAACCCCGGGGCACATGAGCAATGTCCATGAAGGCAATTTCAACATGCCTTCGTTCCCATCACTGCCAGGTCATGCTCTGTCCTGGAGACGGTCCTCTATCCCTCTGAATCCTGACGCTGGGATGACAGAGTGTCCAGGGGGCCTGAAAGAGCTTGCCTTGCCTTGCCTCATGTCCCTTCCCCTCTTCCCCCGTTCCTGATGGTGACTTACATTGGCTCAGAGAAGGCCCTCACAGCAGACCTGTAGCTCTGAGACCATCAACCAAAAAAAAGATCTACAGAATTCTGTCCCTCCTCCCCAGCCTAAAAAAGAAGCAGGCCATGACAGAAATAGGGCATGGAAAACAGGCGAGGCTGGCAGTTACCCCGGGCCCCAGCCATCCTGCTCATCCCGCCCAGGCCCTGCAGCCCACCTGTGCCACCCACACAGCCTCCCCGCCCTGGACTCACCCTTCTGCTTGTGGCCACAGGAGGTTGGGTCCTAAAACAATTGCCATGTTACTGGGAGTCATCTTGTTTATATCTTGATATTCTGATAGCTTGGATAAAAATTTGATCAAGTATCTGAAAAGAAACCAGAAGGGCCAGGTTTAACTAGGGCTTGGCACCAGCCACGTGCACCCAGGACTGGGTAGAAACTTCTCTCCTGTTGCACATCTTACGGACAAGACTCACATGAGCTGCAATGTAATGAAAATGCATCATGTGGCAGGAGATGGTCATTCTGTATTCTCTTTCCAAAAACAGACGGATTCAGATCTTACTTGGTTAGATGTCAACAACCGCTTCAACTAACACAGGTCACACAGTCCCCATCTTTCCTTTTGACTCAGTGTGGAATGACCATGACCCGCTACTCTCCCTGTGTGCAGAAGTGATAAAGTGTTGAGGCATCACTGGCAGGGACACGCTAGGGGTGGTGTCCCCTGGAATTATTCTCAGTTGGGCTTTCTGGAAAGATCCAATGAAGAAAGTCAAACCTACACTTAGTGTATGATCCAGCAATCCCACTCCTATAAATATACCCAAGAGAAATATGTCCACGCACAAACTTGAACACAAATTGTTCACAGCTGCGTTATTCACAACAGCCAAAAAACACAAACTACCCAAATAGCCATCGAGAGATGAACAGGTAGATAAAATGTGGGACACCCACACAGCGTGACACTGTTCAGCCATAAGAAGGAATACTGACACAGCCTGCAGCATGGATGAGCCTTGAAAACATTATGCTAAATGCAAGAAGTCAGACACAAAAGACCACATATTATATTATTTCATTGATACGAAATGTCTAGAATAGGCAAAAGTATAGAGCCAGAAAGTGAATTGGTGGGTGCTAGGGGCAGGGTTGGGGGAAATGATGAGTGACCGCTAACGGGAACAGGGCTTCTTTTTGGGGTGATGAAAATGCTCTAAAATTAGATAGTAGTGATAGTTGCACAACTCTACGAATACATTACAAAAACCACTAAATGTATACTTTTAAAAGGTACAATGGTACCTGAATCACAGCTCAATAGAATTATTTTTAAAAAAAGAGCCAATAAAGAAGCTATGCATGAATTAAGCACAAAAAGTACCTCTGGCAAAACACACTGAAAACCTGCCAGGCCCTGACAAGAAGTCCCAGGACCAGCCAGGGGCACATGTTTTTTCCTGGACTGTTACAAAAGGCTGTGGTCCTAACCCCGCTTTGCTCAGCTCACAGGGAGTGTGACTCCCTTGAGGGCGGGGGGTGTTCACCTTCTGTCCGCCCTGTACAAAGTGCGGCTGACTCCGGGCCCTACCGTGTAGTCACTAGGCTGTCACTGTGACAGTCCACCCACAGCCTCTCTTGACCATGCCTCACCCTCCAGGAGGCCACACGGGACGCGACCAGGACGTGGGACCTATGTGGAGAGTAGTCAATCCTCCTGCTGGCCAGTGGCCTTGGGCTGGTGCCAGCGACACACCATGAGCTGTACTGACCCGATTCTCACTCTTGGGATTTCTTTTTAATATTGTGGTAAAATATACACAAAGTTTACTATTTTAACCATTTTTAGGTGTACAATTCCATGGCATTAAGTACATTTACACTGTTATGAAACCATCACCACCATCCATCTCCAGAACGTTTCCATCTTTCCCAGCTGAATTCTGCCCTCATTAAACAGCAACCTCCCCGTTCCCTTTCCCTGGCCACGACCATCTGATTTTCTCTGAGTCTGACTACTCTAGGCACTTTGTGTAAGTGGAATCCTACGGTACTCGTCCTGTGTGTCTGGCTTCAGGTTCACCCCCTTCAGGTTCATCCCCAGGTTCATGCCCTCAAGGTTCATCCACATCCACACCGTGGCAAGAATCAGCATTTCCTATCCCATTGTGCGAATATACCACATTCTGTTCACCCATTTATCCATCCACAGACATCTGGGTTCCCACCCCTGGGCTACAGTGAATAATGCTGCTACAAACACGAGTGTGCAGATATCAAGCCCGAGCTTTCAGTTCTTTGGGCACATACCCAGAAATGGAGTTGCTGGATCATATGTGAATGACAGGTTTCATTTTTTGAGGAACTGCCATTCAGTCGCTCTTGAGATTTTTAACAGGAAAACAAATGATCAGGCAGATGGCAGCAGGTGCCGACGCTGAAACCCTACATACTAAGAAGCAGGGAGGAAAGGTGGCAGGGTCAGGAGGGGTGCTGACAGCGAGACAGAGTGACGAAGAAGCAGAGTGTGAAACAGCAGGAGCCAGGCGTAGGGGAAGACCCGGAGCGCAGTGGGAAGTAAAATCTTGGGTGGTAGCAGGAAAAGTGAGAGGCAGACGTGTGGAACACATCTGGGGCTCGTGCGTGCAGAGCACTGGAGAACATTCTCCCTCGCCTCTCCTTCCTGCAGACTCCCTCAAGGGCACCTCTGCCTCCTCCAGCTCCTGCAGGGTCAGGTTCAGCTTCTCCCAGGTGTCCAGACACCCGTCTTTACCATAAATACCCAACATCTTACGATCGCTTGCGTTGATTTTTGTTCCTTGCAAATCAAAGAACAACTGAATTAGCCAATGGCTAGTGGCCTCCAAAGTCAAAGAGCTTCTTTAAGTCTGTTTCCTTATCTGCAAAATGCTAATAATTATCCCTGCCTTATCTCATGGTGTAGCTTGCTTTTTAAAAGAGACCATGCGGCTGGGCGTGGTGGCTCACGCCTGTAATCCTAGCTCTCTGGGAGGCCGAGGCGGGCGGATTGTTTGAGCTCAGGAGTTCGAGACCAGCCTGAGCAAGAGCGAGACCCCGTCTCTACTAAAAATAGAAAGAAATTAATTGGACAACTAAAAATACATAGAAAAAATTAGCCGGGCATGGTGGCGCATGCCTGTAGTCCCAGCTACTCGGGAGGCTGAGGCAGGAGGATTGCTTGAGCCCAGGAGTTTGAGGTTGCTGTGAGCTAGGATGATGCCATGGCACTCTAGCCCGGGCAACACAGTGAGACTCTGTTTCAAAAAAAAAAAAAAAAAAAAAGAGACCATGCGTGTTAACAACACCCTGGACACCATAAAGTGCTACGCATGCTACTTACCACGAGGGAAGCCATGTCTGGAGGTTAAATAAGCCCAAGCCATGTGTCTCCACTATCCACTTACCGGATGTTGTTGTGATTGGCCTTAGGCAACTTTTCACAAGCATTCCATAGAGCCTGAAGCTTCTTATCTTGCTCCTGGATACTGGGAAATTGACAGGAAAGCCATTGGTTGAGCAAGAGTTAATGAAGTCTCATTGGCAATCATATCAACCAGTCACCATAATATTTAACAACAAGGAGTGAACCATTATAACTGACCACATCAGCACATGATTATTTCAAAAAGTGGTTATTATTATTTCCCCTCTGTGCTCTCTTTCTGTCCTGTCCTATGCTATTGGAACAAAACCTCCTCTGCACACGTATTTCCCAAGTGAACATGTGCTGGGCAGCCAGTGAGGGCAGAGGGCAGAGGCCTGCTCTGAGTGGGCTCCGGGGCTGTCAGGAGGGCGCAGGGCACAGTCAGGGAGCTCCTTCCTGCCCTCACATCGTGGGGGTGCAGCCTGCAGGCCAGTCCGATGGATGTCACTTACTGCATTTCAGCTCCTTGGCATCTGGCACGTAGTAGAGGCTCAATACACACCTTCTGAATAAACAAATTACCTGAACTCAACATAGACATAAGGAAATCTGACCTTTTAGGACATAACTCAGGGAATGGACCATTTCCACTAACCAAAGGATTCTTCACTCTACAAAAAGAGTTGCTCTAAAGTTATCTTTATTTACAAGCCCTTTTGGAATTTTTTAAAAAAATTATTCATGGGACTATATTTTTATACAAATCTCCACCAAGGCCTACGTGGTTAGGAAAGCCTCACACCTTTCCTTTAGAAAAACTGAATGCTAAATGCTAACAGAGTGAGGCCCCAGCTTGACCCCTTGACCTCGGACCCACAGCCAGCACAGGGACCATCACCCGTGGGCTCCATGGCGGAGGACCCTGAGGTCCTCCTTGAGAGACACTCCCTTTCCCCTCTGTTCAACCTTGAGAAAGAGGCAGGCATCCCCAAAAGGAAATTTAACTAGGAAACTAGAACAAAAACCAGTGTTCCACTTAGAAATAGGCAGGAAACCGATCCTATTTGTTAAGTAGTTATAATCTGACCGAAGGCTGGCCAAGGTGGGTTTTGTGCAGAAGCTGCAAAGACCCAGCTGCACCCTGTGATCTTGTGCCAATTATAATATTTAACCTCTACAAACCTTGCTTTTCCTCTTCTATACAATGGGGCTAATATTGAGACTTCCCTCATAGATCTGGTGGTGTGAGCAGTTTAAAAGAGGATCTGGACAAAGTGCTCAGCAGAGTGGCTGGTTCACTAAAAGCCCCTAATCAGCGTTAAATGTTAGCCTTTGACACTGTGGTTGCTGTCACTGCTCTATCACTCCCACTTCTGTCATTCCCTGAAGTGTCTCCTATGGCACCAAACCACACTTCCTTTTCTGCTCCTCAACCCTTTCCAAGGTCCCACTGTGTGTCAGGCTCTGTCCTAAGGGCTGGGAAGTGCAAGCAAACAGAGGTGCTCCCAACCCCATCAGCTACACAAAGGCTACCACGAGGAGGATCAGTTTCGTGCAGAGTATTAACAGAGGAGACGGGATAGATCAAGACTGCACTCTGATTTTCATCAACTTGTCACGGAGGATTTCTCTGAGGAGGTGGGTTACATTTAAGGTGAGGCCCAAATATTAATAGTTGGAAGGCGTCGACTGGGCAGAAGTCTTGGGGAACAGTCGCATCTGAGGGAACAGCCGTGTGAAGGCGTCAGTACTTCCACCCTGAGGAAGGTCTCCTAGCATGAGAGCCCGGCTTCTTGCAACTTCTGTCAGGGACCTCTCGGCCTCTGGGCTGTTCTGAACCTCTGTTTTGCATGACTCTAGTACAGAAGCACTTAATTTACGTGGCTTGCAATGATGTGTCCTTTCTGAGTTTCAGGCCATCTCACGCTGTCCTGGCAATCCCTCAGTTCAGCCCTTGCTGCTCCCGGCTCCATCTCTGACTGCCAGATGCCCCACCCGGGGGCTGAGTTGGTCTGAAAAACAAGCCCCTGTTAAGGGTGGTGCCGCCCTCTGGTGAAACTCGGCTTCATCACAGGTTAATGGTTATCAACCCCACAGCCTTGGAGCTCTGAAGTACAGAACCCAGACCCATTCAATCTGAATCTCTGAAAAGAAGGGCTCAGGCAGTGGTATCTTTTAAAAGCTTCCCAGGACATGCTGATGCACACAAAGGGTCAGAAACCACTGTTCTAAGCAAAATAACTTTTTTTAGATGATGTGACCTTAGACACTACAAGCATATCATTCAGTAGCAGAAATAAGTCCTTGATTCTCCTTGCTGGACCTCCTTGAGTCATCCAGATCACTCCTATTTCCTAATGCAGGCCTGCCTTTGCAAATGAGGTGGGACCTGGAGTGTCTCTAGGGGGCTCCTGAAGCACTGAGCTATCCTCCCCTTCTCTGGCTTTATAGCATCTGGATCACCGACATATTCAGTAAATAAGAACAACAGTTTCCAGCAAAGGTTATGTGCTCCCTTGACTTCGCCCCTAGGACCACATTCTCGTTCTAGAGGCACAAAGTGCACTGAGCGCAGGGGCGCTGGACCAGGCCCCTTGGATTCAAATTCTCATTCTGCCATTTATTAGCCAGAAAGTCACCTGTGACCGCACAGCTGTTCTATACCTCGTACTCCTCATCTGGAAAATGGGACAAACAGCACAATCCAGTTCATAGGGTTGTTGTAAGAATTAAATGAATTAAAAACACATAATGAGCTTAGAACAATATCAAGCTTCTAAGCACCTACTATATGGTACGACTTACGATTGTTACTATCATGGGACCCAACACTTTTCCCAATGAGATACAAGAGTGCCATATATTCAGCCAGCCTTTCAAAATGCATGATCTCTATTCTACTTTGAAACAGAACAGCGTTATGCAACTTTACACATTTGAGCCTGGCTTCACCTCTGGGACAGGTGGGTCTCTCAGGGCCCCGGTTCTTCAAGAAGTAGAAGGACCTGCCTCAGACACACGCGCCAGTGTTCTTTCTGACAGGCAACGCTGGCTGCTTGTGATGACTCAATCCCATGATGAGAGATCTCTAGAAATCACTTCCTTTCACGGGTCCCTAGCTACGGTAGCTTCTGGCTCCAGTCCTGCTCTCACACCCTTCTTCTTTCTCTCTCCTTCATCTCTTCTGCCTGGACTCTCTCTACCTTCATGGGCACCACCCTTGCTCTGGTGCCAACTCTCCGCCCTGGTGTCTCCTGTTTCCTAGGCATGTTCATTTGCTCAGTAAAAACGCATTCCTCCAAACAACAGCATTGACGTAAGACGGTTCTTACCTAGGGCCAAAGCGAACATGTAACACCGTGCTAATGCACGCATAAACTGAGGAAAAAAACCGGAATCAAAAGGGAAAACCACACGTAGGAGCCACAGTGCGTGCAGGGCTGTGGCTCCACCTGCTTGGCGCCAGCTGCCTGCCCTCTGCATTGTCCTTGTCCCTGAACCTCTAGAGTCCTGGCCTCACGCTGAGTGGCAGCCTCTCTCTCGGATGCATCTTTAGCAGCGGGGCACAGCGGCCACTGCCCATGTGTTGTGCTTCTATGTTCATAATTAATTGGATGTTGTTAAATATTTTTAACTATAGATAAGGGTAAGACCCCTGTGCCCATTGCCTTGTCCCACGCTTCTCTCCAGAAGGAATCACTGCCATTGGCCTGTGTTAGCCCTTCCAGAATCTTCTTTTATGCATTTACACATAAATAGAGAGACTCCTAAAGTTTTATTGTTTTGAGTTTGTTAGATGTTTATTTTCCTTTTTCCAACAATAGAATATCACAGGTGTCCTTGTTGACTCACTTTATTTCACCCAACAATAAATCTCCATATTTTTTCATGTTAGCATGTATATTATAGCTCTACCTATTTTTTAATTGCTCCAGAGTATGACATGGTCTAGACATACCGTGGGTTATTTAGCCTCTCCCCATATCCCTTCTCCAATGCACCTTTAGTGATTTCCAGACTGCTGTGGTTCCAAATGATGCCACCGTCACCGTCCTGGTACACGCCTCCGTGGGTACATGCAGTATTCCTTCACCACGGAGATCAAGCAATGGAGTTGCTAGGTCATGAGTTAGATACTTTCCTAATTTCAGTACACACTTACAAATAAACCCCAACCCACAAGACAGTCCAAAGAAGGGTACTCACTTGGAGGCCTGGATCCACTCGTCATAGAGTTCAAAGGTCATAAGAGGTTCTGGCAATTCTCGGAGGTAAGACTTCAAAGCTCCTGGGCATGAATACAACATTGGCCGTGAGCCATTATGACATGGCAGAGATGAGATCCACCAGCCAGCGCTGCCCACGTGGGCTCCCCCTGGGGATGGGCCCCCTGACCGCTGTGCCGAGAGCACAGGGTGGCTCCCACGTGAGTGGGTGTGAGGCTCTGCCAGGGGACCTGGGCTGGTAACCGCTTGGGCCCTCTTATTTCCCACCATCACCTCCTCTTCTCTTGGCACACTGGGGACCTTCCTTCAGGGGGCCGTGGCATCCAGGCTGGAACTGGGCCTGAGTAGACACACCTGAAGCACGTCAGGAAGCCACTGGCCCGCGTGTCCCAGACATGCAGCCACACACGCTCACCCCTTCCCTATGGGTCCCCAAGGCGCACACGAACACCTCGCCAAGAGGGTGTGGATGCCCACCTGCGATCGCGTGGGGGTCTGCCGAGTACTCCTGCACATCCACCACACAGCAGTCCAGGGCAGCTTTCAGCTTCTTCAGCTTGGAGGCAGAGGGAGCTACTCGGAAGAGTCCCTACCAACAGGACAGAGGGTCAGCAGGCAGCCCCGCAACTCCGAGGCACAAGAGCAGAACAATAGACCACAAGTCTACCTGCTTCTTTCCTCCAAAACGTCTTAGATGTATTTGTCTAACACCATTTTCCAATATTGTAGCTACCTGTTTTCTAAATGTTTCGTACTTTGTATATAAGCAGCTTGAGCACAAGAGCTGGGCTTTGCCCACTGCTGTGTCCCCAGGGCCAGGTGCAGTGGGGAAGGGGGACGTATGCTGGTTCTGTAAGTATTTGTTGAATAAAGGAATCTCGGTCCCTCCATGTTCCATCCTTAAGAGTTGCTTTCTAATCCCTGGCACCTCCTCTGAGTGAACCACTGCAACCTGCAGAGCTAAAGTGAGCTATGGAGAGAAAGAGAAGAGTAGGAGAGGGCTGTGTGGAAGAGAAGGTGGATGCAGGTCAGAGTTGGAAAGAAACCTCTCCGTCACAGGTAAGTTAGACACGGGTTAAAGACCTATCGGTTTCCTTTTCACTCTTAGCTCCTTGCATTCTAGGATGCAATCCACAGGCTGAGAAACGAGCTGGCAGAATCTTGCTCCTTTAATCTTTTATAGCCATTCAGAATCACAAGTTCCTTTAGCAGAAAATGTTCCTGGTCTGGAGTACTGAGATTATGACCTGCTAGGATCACTAACTCCCTTCTCAAAATAGGGTATATTGAATAAATAGATGTGCGAAGCTCCTTGGCATATATGTGAGGAAGCTACATAAACGCCTTTGGACTGGTGTGTGGGTAAGGCTGCCATGACAAAGGCAGCAAGCTACAGAACGCAACAGAGGGGTGGCCTAGATCTTCATAAAACTATGCCATCGCCACACAAGGAGAGCCGACAGGATTTGGTGATGGCCAATGCCACAGAGAGGGAAACAGAGTTGTCAAGCGTAAGCCTTTAGATTTTTGCTTATGTAACTGAGACAAGCATAAAAACCAGGAGGAGGAAGGCATTGTTAAGATAGCCAGGGAGTCCAGTTTTAGGGGTGCTAGAGGAAAATCTGCAGGGAAATATTGAAGAATGGCAGCAAACAGAGTGGAGCCCTTCCACTGGGAGAATCCCCATGGAGGCTGAGGCGCAGCTCTTGGAGGGCAGATTTGGGTGGTGGTGCACAAACGAAGACCCTAAGGCCCCTGTTGTCAGAGGCAAGAAGGGGACTAGGGAGGGCTGAGGGAGCCACTAGTCTCAAGGGCGCTCCATTAGTAACACCAGGCAGTGACATGGCCCGGGAGGCTGGGACTGAGTCATGGGTTTGGCAATCTGGGGATCCCTGGAGACCACTGAGGGTGGTCTTAGGCCCAGTAGTGGGGTAGAAGTGACCACACAGGAAGATCAGTAGGTGGTGGTAAAGCTGCAGGAGCGGCAGATGACAGAAGCTATTTTAAGCAATTGGGTAGCATACAAAAGAAAACCAACACGCTGGGGAAGGAATACGAGGTGGTAGCTGGGTTGAAAGAAGATATTTTGTTCTAGCCTCAGGGAAATCTGAGCCTATTTGCGAGTAAAGCGAAAGAGCAGACACGAAGTGGGGGAAAGTGCAAGCGGGAGAGTGAGGTCTGGCCAGAGGTGGAAAGGCTGAGAAGGGCAGAGACAGGAAGAAGAGCAGGGAGATGAGGTGGGAGATGTCCGAGAGCCCGTTCCTTAAGAGCCAGTTTGTGCGGATTAGATATCTGATGATACTAATAAGTTAGTTACTTTTTGGATATAATAATACTATTATATTTGAAAACACTCCTTGTCTTTTAGACCTACCTATGAAAGTATTATTAATGAAATGATATACGTTTGGGATTTGCTTTCAAATATCCAAGGCAGGGATGTGGGAGCGGGAGACAGAGGCGGAGGTGAAACGAGATTGACCATCAGCTGGGCGATGGGGCTCATTAGTTTATCTTTATGTGTTTACGTTTTTCCATAATGAAAAAAGATAATGGGGAAAGAAAAGGCCAGTCCATCTCCCTCTAAGAAATTATCTCTCGGGGACTGTAGAGACCTTCTCACTTTTTTCATTGGTAACAAACATGAAAATGCCTGGCACATAGAAATGTGGTCAAAAAACCCATTTACTCCCATTCCTTTCTGAATGTCCAGAATCTAGGACAGGCCTTGCATATGGGAAGCAGCCAACATCTGTGTGTTCACAGGCTTCCTGCTCTCCCACAGCTCTTCCAGTTTGCCTGTGCAACCCAGTGCTTGCTTAGAGACTCACATGTGCTTGGGGCTGACTTGGCTTACTTAAGAAATGTTAGACTCATTTTCCCTAGCAAGTTTCTAAGTCCCATCTCACTCTTCCATACTTTGCTCAGTGATAAACGCAAAGCATGTCCTAAATAAATATTGACTGGCTGACTGGATCAAAGGAAGATGAAGTAAAGATGTCAAAATAGCCTACGGAAGAAACCAAAGATGAGATCTGTCTCCCTGGAAATGATTTACACAGCAATAAATATCAGGTTATTAAGTATGAAATGTCCAATTTCCTTAAGTACTACATTTGACAGTTGATATCTCTTACATTTCACTTTGACATTTCTTGTTTTATTTTTATTGTGAAGGCACATGTCCTCATTGTTTCAAATGTACAGTTTGGCTTATGATTATCTTTCAAAATTTTTTTAGAGGAATTTTTGTGAAACCATGGATGAGTCAAAAGTTCATGTTATTTTAGAATATGAGTTCCATAGTGGAATCAATGCAGCACAGACAGCTAGAAATATCAACAAAGTATTTGAGAAGGATGTGGCTAACCACAGGACATCGATGGTTTGAGAATCACCATTCTGGTGATTTTAATCTTGAAAATGAGTCATGTGGGCAACCTCAGACCAACATGGATAACAATGAACTGAAAGCTGTAGTGGAAGAGAATCCATCTCAACCTACACGTGAATTAGCAGCAAGGTTTGACGTTACTATTCCAACAATATTGGACCATTTGAAACAAATCGGCAAAGTAAAGAAGCTGGATTGATGGGTACCATGTGAATTAAATGAGTATCAGAAGAGAAATAGTCTCGAAGCTTGCCTTTCTTTGCTGTCATGACATAAAGGCAAACCATTTCTACACTATATTGTTAAGCATGATGAAAAATGAATTCATTTTGACAATCACAATTGTTCAGCACAATGGTTGGATAAAGATGAAGTGTCGAAACTCAGTCCAAAACCCATACAAAAAAGCTAATGCTGTCTGTTTGGTGGTCCAGCGCTGGCATTATCCACTACAGCTTCATGAAACCTGGTCAATGATTACAGTGGATGTCTACTGCAACCAGCTGGATGAAATGATGAGGATGCTTGCAATTAAGCAGCTGAGATTGGTCAATAGAGACAGGCCAACCCTCTTGCAAGACAACGCTCGACCACATGTCGCACAAACAACGCTGCTCAAACTACAGAGACTGGACTTGGAAATTCTCTGTCATGCACCATATTCACCAGACCTTGCGCCAACTGACTACCACTTCTTGCAGGCTTTGGACCACTTCTTGCAAGGAAAAACATTCAGTTCTCAACAACCTGTGGAAAATGCCTCTCCCTATTTTATCGACACTCCCTCGCTCTCCAGGGTTCTTCGCTGCTGGCATAAACAAGCCACTGTTAAGATGGCAAAACCGTTGTCGACAGTTTAGGTGCATACTTTGATGAATTGTACTGCTTCTTGTTTGAAATACAATAAACTACACTTTTGATTCGAAATCGGACATTGCATATTTAATGACCTAATACAACGGTCACCACCAATTTGTCGTAGAACTTTTTTACATGCTCTAAAAAGTACTTTCTCATGTATCTATCAATCATATTTTCAATATCTCTATTAAAAAGTCATGATCAAAAAGGTTAAGGGCTCTATTTTGAAGACTAAGTAACTTATTAAGCAAAAGGAGGAGGGGGAAGAGGAAGTAGAAGGAATAGTAGCAACAGCAGAATGCCTACAGCATCAAATCATGTCAACTGCAAGGAAAAAATGGTGAGAATATGGCCATCAATTCCTCATGGCTAGACCAGTCTCTCACAATCCGTGGGAAAGTGAGGGCTTGTGGTCAAAGGCAGGACCCGCGTGTGCGGGAGAGGAGCCTGTACCATCGTCTTAACACATTTGGACTCGAGAGGGCTGGAGCAGGGACCATAGAGGAAAGGAGACCTGTAGGCCCTGTCTCATGGAAGAGGAGACCCGCCCCAGGCTGGCTTTGGCCATGCTCAGACCCACCTCCTCCTGCATCCCACACTCAAGCAGCATCGTCACACACGCCTCAATGGGGAAGGCGATCTCCCGGCCGCTGATGGTGAGGTGCTCCTCCAGAGGCTTCCCGAAAGAGGGCTTCTCCACCCAGGCCTCTGGTGGGGAGGAGTGAGAAAGGTGTCGGTCAGTAGTTTGAGAAAGTCAATCACACTGGAATCTTCCTTTCTTTTGTCATCCCGATTCTCCTAAGACTCACAAAGAAATAGACGCCCAGGAGAGCCCCCGTTCTGTGGTTTTGGAGATAATGGGGGATTGGAGAGGCTGGATGGCTAGACAGCTGTGCCTAGCGCTGTCACATACCTCCGCACACCCCTTACTCACCCCTGTGGAGGGGGCAGCCATGAGTGAGTGTGCTTTGCCTCACTGTACCTAGATCAAGGCACCAGCCTGGGAAGTCCTAGTGGCTCATCTAAAGGGGACCTCATTGGGCAGAGCAAAAGGGTGAACAATGCACAGGGAGTTGGTCTCCTCCAGGAAGGCAAGCAGGCTCCCCAGCCCTCCCCTGTCCATGGAAGGCTTGCACTTACCCTGTTGTGCTTTGATCTGAGGCAACACAGCCTGCAAGAGTGTCAGTGACTTTCTGTGGTATTCAGCTTGCACTTTTATCAGCTGAAAAACACAAGGGTGAACATTACCCTTTGTGGAACACAGGCCGCCGTGGTATGCGGTATGTGGTATGCCGAGTGTTTTGCCCAAGTATCCTGCGGAAGGTGCTTACACCTGGGGGGAGGAGGCGGCATGCCTGGCTCCCTCCTCCAATCTTCCTAAAATGATGGGCATGCTTCCTCTCTAGCCCTGTAACAAAGAAGTCACCACAAATGGAATTTGGGAAGCAGAAGAATCACGAAGGAAGGGGGCCCCCCAGAGCCTGCCTTCACCATCACCCTACCTCACTGGCTCCCATCCTCAACATGAGAGGCAACAATGAGAGGTGCAACCATAGGAGGATATACATGGAAAACACACATAGAAATTCATTTGCCTGTGAATATACACATCAATGCCATTTCCCTGTATACAATCTTGGTTTCTGCAGAGTTACTTTAGCATACAACTGATCAGAAAACTCGTGGCCTGATCCACAATCCTCTTCATGTACCTTGGGAGGTAAAACCACTTTGGCTACGGAGACACAGTCCAAAAACCGAATTCTCTCAAAGTGTTCTATTTTGACCATCCCATTAATTAAAGGTGGCCAAAATGTTGATAAGAGCAGGTGAAAACCCAAGAATGATAGCTACTTTATTTATTTTCTGACCCCCCTCATCAGACACGTAGGAGGGGAGGGGAGGGTATCTCCGTTTGCATACTTGGCATGGACGGCAGACACTGTGGTCCCCAAATAAAACTAAAGCAAAACTAATATGGATTTTTTTTTAAAAATCGGAATATTTCAATAAATGGTACACAAATGACAATTAGGTAGGCTAGTAAAGCTTGGAATGGCAACGAGTGATTAGTTTTAGAAACTCTCAAATTAAACATTACCTTCACAAACAAGCCATTGGAATATACTTGAAAAATACTTCTTCAAAATAAACTTTCTAAGTTGGAAGCAATGGAAATCAACTCCTTTTTAGGGTAGGAGGGACTTCTCTGCACGCGGGACCACTAACGAAAATGTTGGAAAATTGCTAATAGCTCCCCGCTGTTCCACTGTACTTGTCAAAGCATTTTAACCTTTCAGGATTCTCCCGTGTTTGTCCTCTCTTTACCTCCCTACTTCCTTATCACTCCTGCCTCTCCCTGATTATAGATGAAGAGCTTTTAGGTCTTAGCCTTTTATTCCCAACTTTAAAAGCAGGTGGGCATCACTGTTTAATTTGTATTATTGTTCTCTCAAAGTTTTTCTCTCTTTTCCTCCTCTTCTTTTTTTTTTACTTGCCTTGCACCTACCCTGGTAAACGGCCAAAGTCCTAATTATTTGCACTAGATTATTCAAGTTGAGACGACTCAGATCTTCTTTCTTCCTGTTTCTTACTCTCTAACTCTGTCTGCTTTGGTTGATGAGAGGCTGGCAAACAGGTCACACGGATAATGGTTTACCTACTTGCCATTGTCTTTGATAAAAATCTAGATTTAAAAAAAATACATGCTGGGGGGAAGGTTTATCTTTCTATTTTTCTCAAGTCCCTTGTTATCACAGACCATGGTTTCTCAAAGTCAGACCTACTGACATTTTGGATTGGATAATCCACTGCTGCGGAGGCTATGCTGTGCACTGTGGGATATTTAGAAGCATCTCTGGTCTCTACCCTCTAAAGGCCAGTAGCACCTCCCTTCCCAGCTGTGACAACCAAAACATCTCCATATATTGCCAGATGTCCACTGGAGGAGGGGCACAATCACTTCTGGTTTAGAACCACTGGACTGAGTTGCCATCGTCCTCAGGGTTGGAGGTGGGTTTTATTACCAGGTTTTGGAGAAATCCATACAAGGGATAATAGAAGGCAGGATTCATTCTCAGGTAGAACAGTCAAAGCCCCACCCTCTTCCATCATGTGCTCAACCAAGGAGCCCTCACTCAGTTCCACGCCACCTTCCCTTCCTGTCCACATCACGACTCTTGCGAACAGACTTTAAGCAGTCTCACCTTTCTGGATACTTACCGTTTGAAAGTAGTTTGCATAGTCAATTTCTTTGGCCACGAAACTGTACATGTCAGCTGACAGCTGGTCCTGTGCAAGGTAAAATATACAACCAAGGTAAAGCATAAACCAATGGAGAGTGGCTCATGCAAGAGTCAAGACAGTACAGGAGAAAGAGCCTTACACATCATTTAACTTCATTTTTAATAATACTTGATATATTATGAACTTTTCCCATAGGCATTTCCCTGTTACCCAACTACAGCTCTGGTGCACGAGTAAGTTTGTAAAGAATACCTATGCCACTCGTTTCTCCAGGGATTTGAACACATGGGCCACGTCTAAAGTCAAAGCTGGTGCAGGGGAGTGATGTGCAAATTACTTCCACGCATCTCTGCAGCTGGTGCCCCCATTCTGAAGCAAGCTTCAACTACACACTGTGCTGTTGCTCTTTTCATTCTGCCATTTCTTCTCTTTGATCATTTTGCTGTTCTGCTTTCTTTCATTCTCATTACTGATTGGTTAATCAGAAGCATATGGGAAAGAGATGGAAACGTACCAATTTGGAGGAAGCTTGGATAAGACAGGTGCACAGGGAAAGGACTGCTGACTGAGAGCTTGGCAAAATCCGGACTCATTCAATATTGCACACAAATCTAATGGTGTTAACAATCCGTCATCATTCAGTGCTCCACGGGATTGGGTGGCAACAACCTAACGCTGCCTGGAATCTGGACTGTTTCGTCCTTTGAGAACAGTTTTCAATTCCACAGAAACACCCACAGCATGGTACAATAAAAGTACATTTTGAGCATAATGTAGACTCTGTCACTAACTGTATTTTTGAGCATGATTAACCATAGTTTTGAGCATGTCATTTCTCTGAACAGGTTTGTACAAGTCATATGATCTCTAAGGTTATTCCTTGTTCAGTGGCTCTAGGCTAGAGGTTCTCAGACAAGACACTTAGTTGAAGACAGAAGAACCTGAGTGTTCAGGTTGAGGCAAGAAAACATGAAAACAGCTCAAGAAAGCTGACCTCCATGACAAGTGAATGAGAGCAGGCACCTACATGCTTCAGGAAGAGCATATTTGATGACACCTCAAGCAATCCGAACCAACCCCATTATCCGCAGTCTTTCCAGCTGCCAGTGAAGCCAACTCTCAGTAAGAACACTGGTGTGTGCAGGGACAATGTTTCTTTTCCAGTAGCTGTGACAGGCAAGCAATTGCTGGGAACATCATTCAAGAGTTTCTGTACACAAGGCAACAGAACCAAGTAACAGACTTAAAAGAAGAAATCTGTTCTCCAGAGAGAAGAAATCACAGTTCTCCAGAGAGCTCTAAGCACAGACTAGACAATGCTGTGCTCAGTCTAGTTTCAGAGAATGAAGAAAGAAGAAAATGAATTAACATTCATTGAGAATAGTCCGGATGCCAGGCACAGTGTTACATGGACTTCACCTCTAACTCTTTTAGGTAAGTACTGAATTTCCAATTTCAGATCAACAGGTAACAGAGTTCACGTGTGTTATCTGTCTGTTGACCACTGTCTCAACATGCTTAGCACAGTCAGGGCTCAATAACTATTTGCTGAACAAACAGATGAGGAAACCAAGGCTCAGAGATGGTAAATTTCCCAAAGAATAATAAAATGGGCTCAAAGACCATTCCAGCTCCATTTAATTAAAGGATCCCTTAAATGAATGCCAAGTCTATCAAAGGTTCAAAAGAGATTTTGTTGGGAATCTACCCCATCTGCCATCCCTACAGCAGCTGTGCTGTATTTTCTTTCTTTTTTTTTTTTTAGAGACAGGGTCTCGTTCTGTCACCCAGGCTGCTGGAATGCGGTGGCCTGATCATAGCTCACTGCAACCTCAAACTCCTGGGCTCAAGCAATCCTCCTGCCTCAGTCTCCTGAGTAGCTGGGACTACAGGTATGTACCACCAGGCTCATGTAATTCTTTTATTTTTGTAGAGATGGGGTCTCATTATGCTGTCCACGCTGGTCTTGAACTCTTGGCCTTAAGCAGTCCACCTGCCTCAGCCTCCCAAAATGCTGGTATTATAGGCGTGAGCCACTGCGCCTGGTTTACTTCTTATTCATAAGATTTTTAAGAGTTATTTAGATTGATGCGACCATTGGCTTTATCAAACACTGTAATACTTTCCCCCAATTTGTCATTTGGGTCACAACAACATTTTTTTGGGGAGGAGTCACTGTACTTTTTTTTAGAGTTTTTCCATGTAGTGGTATTTATTAAATTTTTCTCTTTATGGTTTTCTCCTTTGATAATATGCTTAGGGCTCATCAACCAATAATATAAATATCCATATGTATGTTCAATAAAGAATATAACTTTGAAATGTTTAATAAATTTGGAATTTATTTTGGTACTCATCTCAGATACCAACTCAGAAAAAAATTTTTCAAAGAGCTAACCAAATGTCCCAGAATGATTCATGCATAGAATAGACTATCCCTACGGATTGGAAATATCATATTTACCAGATGAAATGTCTCATATACTTGAATTTTCATCAGGCTGGGATGTCTTTTTTTTCCTTACTGATCTATATTTTTGAAATAGTACTTAAATTTTAATTCTGTTCCATCGCTCTACAATATATTTTAAGAGAGATAGTAATTCAAAGCTCCAATAATTCTTCCACATTAACTTTAGATATCTTTTATCACCCTTTGAAAAACTTATTACAATTATATCTACTTACCACAGTAGTAATCAAATTAATTCTGGAAAATACAAATGTTAATAATATTTATTTATAGGAATATCTTTCCATTTTATAAAGTTGTCTTTGATTTCCTGAGCAATATTTTATAATTATCCTATATTTCATAATTTTACAGTCAGATTTTAAATATTCTATTGTCAAAAAAATCCCTAAGATATTTATAAATATTGGTCTCTTAAATAATTTTTCTTGGTAAAAAGTAAAACCTCAATATTTATTATTGACTTCTGGTTTCCAGTCCAGCATGTAAGGAGCTTAGAAGTCTGCCCTAACAAAAAGCAAGAAGCTGACAAACTAAACAATCAACAACTCTCCTTAGATTTGTCAGAGAAGTGTATGTCACAGAGCAAAGTGCTGCTGCCCCCAAAACTGGAGACAGGTAGGGACAGAGAATCACAACTCACTGCAGCAGAAACCAGTACTGGGGTGGGACAACCTACGCTACAATTGAGGAATTGCTGGGGGCTCAGCGTGGACAGGTCTGAAAGTTAAATACTCCAGGCGGGACCGGGGCATGGTGGCTCGTGCCTGTAATCCTAGCACTCTGGGAGGCTGAGGCAGGTGGATTGCAGTGAGCTACGATGATGCCACCGCAGTTCTACTCAGGAGAACACAGTGAGATTTGGTCTCAAAAAAACAAAAAACTCCAGGAGGACACAGTCACAGGAGGCAGGGAGGCACTTTTACCTTCAGGAGCTCTACCAGGTTCTCACAGTGAATTTCAGAGAGAAATGCTCTCCTGCTTCCAGCAGGCGGGGGCTGGGAGGTGGTGGTGGTGGTGGTGGGTGGGTTGCGGGGGAGGTAACCACTTTGAAACATGATACAACAGTCTATTCTTGTCAACAAGGTCTGCCCTCAAGAGAAATTAGTTTACCAAAGTCTAAACCACTGGGCTTTTTTCATTGCCTAACCTGAGAGAAGAGAAATACTCAACTCCAGCCTTCTCTAGCCATTCTGTCCCACCTAAGAAAAAAATAATAAAAATCCTAGAAGCACTGGTAAAACTCACAGCCCAGGGACACAGGCTCACCAAAAGAATGAGACCTAATCATAGGACTGTAGAACACTTCCCCTTTCCGCCCACCTCACGACTATATCACTAAAGATCCATTACCGCTGTTCCTCTTACTCCGTACATCACATCCAACTTTCAACACAAAAATCACAAGGCATATTAAAAGGCAAAAACACAGATTAAAGATACTGAACGAGGATCAGAACCATAAATGAATGACCAAAATCCAAAAGACTGACAACACCAAATGCTGGCTAGATGTGAAGCAACAGGAACTCCTGTTTATTTCTGGTGGGGATGCAAAATAGTATGGCCACTTTGGAAGATTGTATGGCAGTTTCTTTCAAAACTAAATACTCTCACCATACAGTCTAGCAGTTATGCTCCTTGGTATTTGCTCAAATAAATGGAAAACTTATGTCCACACAAAAGCTTGCACGTGGATGTCTGTAGCCTCTTTTTTCATAATTACCCAAACTCAGCAGCAACAAAGATGTCCTTCAGTAGGTGAATGGATAAACTGGTATATCCAGACAATGGCATATTATTCAGTGCTAAAAGAAAAAAATGAGTTTTTAAGCCATGAAAAAAACTTGAAGGAAACTTAAATGCATATTACTAAGTGAAAGAAGCCAATCTGAAAAGGCTACATACTGCATGACAGTAAAAAGATCAGTGGTTGCCAAGGCTTGGGGGGAGGGAGGAATGAATCGGTGGAGGACAGACGACTTTTAGGGCAGAAAAACTACTCTTTATGATACTATAATGGTAGATACGTCAGTACATAATTATCAGACCACCAGAACGTACAACACCAAGAGTGAACCCTAATGTAAACTATGGACTTTGGGTGATAATGTGCAATGTAATTTCATCAATTATAACAAACTATACCCTGTGCCGTGGAATGTTGCTACTGGGGGAGTCTGTGCACATGTGTTGGGGCAGGAGATAACGGGAACTCCCTCTGTAACTCTCCACTCGATTTTGCTGTGAAATTATAAGGGCTCTAAAAAATAAAGTCTATTAATTCAAAAAAGTTTAAAAGATCATTTCAAAAGTAAAAAAAAAGAAAGCACAAAACGTCTGTTTTTCAGAATCTCAGATTTAAGATAGAGATCTTCGATGCAGGCCAATTTTATTTTTCTATGCTCGTCTGATTTGTTTTGTTTCTACAAATCTCATATTATCTGTACATTGGCTTTCCACTTTTTATCTTCAACATCTACCAGCTTTTCTCTCATTGTTTTTGTTCCTTTTGACTCCTGCCTTAACATTCTAGAAGAAAAGTTCAAGCTTTTCTCTACATCATTGGCTC